CAATGAATTACAAACTAATATTAGCTTAAAAGGAGCCCACTACTATTTTACAACAATATAGTCTACATAGAAAAAATTACAGGAAGGTGCTTGAAAACGCACGACGCAAAGTGCAGGTGACGATAGACAACTAACGAACAAAGACAATATTGAAAAATTGTTGTATTAGATATAGTAGATTTTTGTTGACAATACATGCTCAGAGCTCAATGGGCGTTGAGTAACTAGCCCATTGCGCACTAGGCCTTCATCAAACGTTTTTCTGGCTGACGTAAAAGCCTGTATTAACTCAATCGCATAATGACCGAATATCGCGCCCTCAAGCATTATTCGACTATGGTATCTGCTAAACTTATATTCATATAAGCAAATGTCAATGGCGTGCGAAGGGCTCATTCGCTTGCAAGTTCTGTTTATTCTTGTTAAGTCTTAGTGTATTTCTCTATCGATATTTATCATACCGATATTATACAATCAATGCGTACGCAAATTCTAATTATAACTTGCTGCGCGCGTCTAACCTGACAGCATATGAATAACTTGTATAAGCCAACGACCTATGTCTTGTCACCGAATATTAGCCATGTATCAGAATTGTCTCAATACCAGCGTCAACGATAACATTCTTACAATAATTCCCACTTGAGGTGATAGTATATTCACCCGCAAAAAAAGATATTATTCACGTTGATATTCACATATGGTGTCAATATCGTCTGAAGGGACCACCCATTTCAAAGTGGCTACACGCTAGTGCACTCCGTAGCGAAACAGACTGTAGCCAGCAATACTGTGACTCGATGCCACGAGCTGGAGCATTGGGATCAATTGAATCGCCGATCGGAAGCTGCAATGATTCAGGCTAAAAAAACTGGCATTCGTTCTTAGGGATAGCTAGGCATGACACTTTCTACCATTCATCGAGCGCTGCATTGGACAAGTTGTATAGCACACGTCGTCTACGACAGACCTGTGCTAAAAGGAGCGAACCTTCCAATAGTAGCGTCTGCTACACCTCGCGTGGTCACTTTCCGCCACTATCTGCCTTAAACGAGGTTGGTGCATGCCTGACCGGACGTTTGCGGACCATACTGTCGTAAACGAAACCGATACGACATTAGGCTGTTTTGCTGTGAAAGCACCGAAACAGTTACTCCACAGTCGGATTGATCGATGATCATGTGCTGTTCAGGATGTGTAGTCGACAAAAGTGGGGATGAAGGCCGTTATGGGATCAGTCGTTGGTATATCCTTCAGTCTGAGTGGGTTTTAGCTTTCATACTGATTGTGTTTTAGGAGCGATGTACTCGAGTGCGGTGCGTGGGATACACCGCGCTCGAGTAGCTGGACGGTAGACAGACGCCAACTTAAATGAAACTGCTTTACAAAATTGCACCTCCTTTGGTACTTACTTAGTACAAGATAACTGTACTAGCAAAAAGTAAGCAGATGCCTCGCAACCTCACGCACACTGTGCGTGCAGATAAGTCTTTTCTTATTATATAAATAACTGCATCGATAAGAAGGAAAAGCCAGACATGTATTTAAAAGTAAAATTTCTAATGAGACTCTTTTCATCTTACAACAGCTACAGTCATATCTCAAATCACTCATAGGCTTCGTGGAGACAACTGCTGTGAGATAGCCGATTTATAAGTTACGTAAATTTCTATTTTTTATATATGAAAAATATATTGAATTAGCGGTATTCTTCTATTATATCACATTGAGATATGTCCCAAGAGCGCCTTACCACTGCACAAAGGCTCGAATTCTGCTATCACAAGGTCAATAATCCGAAAATGAGCCAGAGTGTCCTATCAAATTGCGCTTTCATCAAGTTTGGTGCTCACCTAGTCTGCAATCTCTCGTATACTCAAGAAGCGCACATATCTAAAATAAATGACAGATGCCGAACTTTCCTCCAAACGCCCTCGCGTTGCTTAGAATGTGAAGGTGGAGGAAGCTTAGTCAACATGGGTCGTTCAATGCCAGACAAGGAATATGCCCTAACTAGAGAAGTCATTAAGGTCAAAATTTAGTGTTTTTTTTAACGACTTAGCTTACCATTTAACCATCAAGTTTCCAGTGGATAGATGCAACGCTTCTAGAAGTGAAACAAGCTCCGCAAAATCCCGGTTCACAAAGAGATTGGTCCAGCAATTAAGGAAGCCATGGATGCATCATTGCCTGGACTTCGGGCTGAAATTGCTCGCTACGAGCCCCGAAATAATTTCAGCATGGACGAAACTGGCATGTCTAGATTTGAGAAATCTTAATTTTAATCTAATGTTGAACATCAATGTTGTTAATTCAGGCCTATTCTACAACATGGTTACGAAGAAGACAGTTGCGCAGCACATAACTGAGGTTATCAAGAAAAAGAAGGTCGACCATGATTCGATTCCTATAAAAGGCTTAAGGCTTGGAATTTTTAGTCAATAACAGCTTTTACTTTTTATTCAGGCACGGATCTCGATTGCCTATACGGCCAATGCGGATGGTACAGAAAAAATCAAGCCTTTTTATCAAGAGAGCATTAAAACCTCGCTGGTTTCGCGCAAGTCTGGAGAGCAGCTCGTATTCTACTACGGGAACAACAAAAAGGCCTAGATGACTGATGCTCTGTTTCAGGAGTGCTTGAAGAAATTCGACACCGAAATGAAGGAAAGCAATCTATGTTTTTTCGTTGGAATTTATCATGCCACTTTATACGCTTTTAACATACCAGTATCATTCCCAGGTCCGCAAGAGAAAGGCCTTGCTTTTGCTGGATAACTAATCATCTGACACTACCAATGATCTGGACCTGACTAATCTTCACGTAGAGTTCATGCCTCCCAACTGTACCGCAAAAATCTAGCCCATGGATGCCGGAATCATCGCTGCTTTTAAGCGCCACTACAGGCGCCTCCATCTGCAAAATGCTGTGGACCGCGACGAACGCGGAGATGTTAACATTTAAATGGTCGACCAGTTGACCGCTCTTGAATGGAGTGCGCAGCGTAGGATGAGATGTCAGCTGCAAATGTGGAAAAGTATGTTAGCCACAATGGACGATTTGTATTCTTGTCTTTTCCTTCTGCGGCTGATCAGGAGGAGCATATGATTAAGCGCGAGTTGCAGGTTGCCATAAATATTCTTTTTCTCAGGAGCGTCATGACCATTTCCGATCTGATAAATTCAGTGGAGGAGGATGAAGCAGCACACTTGCAGTTAAATGACAGTGATTCTACCAGATGGTACATGAGGCTGAAGGGGAGGAGGAACAGGAGGAGGAGCAATTCGAATTGGTGGAGACAAGCAAAGAAGAATACCTCAAGTCTCTACCTTTTACTGCTTCCATCCTTGAATTGTCGATCCCGGTTGATACGGTTTTTCATAGGCGTATTCGTGAGCTTCAGATGTCCATCTGTATCGATGCCACCACTCAGAGCACCCTCGACTCTTGGCTTCACTAGATAAGTTTACTCACACGTCTTCTCCAAATGCGTATATTTCATACATAAATATGGTTTTGCTTGCTCAAGAGTATTCTTGCATGATTTTGTGTCCCTGTAAAACTCATCAAAGCCTTTAGTTATGAGTTTCGAGTTATGAGTTAGCGACCATAGAACGAGCAAAAGGAGCCTTATTTTGTATGAGTTATATGAGTAACGAGTTATAGGATATGGGTTATCCGAGGAATGACTGTATGTAGAGCTAAGTTTCAAATGTAGCTACTACGCTCAACACCATTGCGCGTCTAGCAACTTTTGGTGGTTTAGTTGGGTGATAGAATGGCCTACGTCATTTATAAGAAAAGCGTTGCCGACTGTTACCTTCGAAGGGAATATTCCTTCAATATTTACTTTGCAAGGTAAACCGAGATAAATATTATTCGTTAAGGGAATGTTTCCGGTGACCTAATATCGTGTCAATGACATGTAATGGGCTCACCCCGTTACAGAGACGCTTTCACGTCAGAACAAATGTACGTCTTCACGGCCCATAGTAACGGCAAAACGTTTGCGCCAGTGTGCGCTCCACAACGCGTGCGAATCGATCTCGCACGACTGAACATTCGCATTGCCGCACGTATTGCAAGACGTTAAAGATGCCGGTACCTGGAAGCTCAATGGGATCGCCACTTGGTGTATGCATAGGCAAAGCGTTGTACAATCACAGCCGCTGGTGGAACACGCCCCACACGCACAACACGTTTCAAAGCAAAGGATACGTGTTCGATGTTCGGTGCGGGCCACCGTTCAATTGCTAAGCTGAAGGTGTGTGGGTTGTGCTACGATAGCAACGCCAAGGCCTGACAAGCACCGCATCGCTCGCCTCATGCCGCTCTTCAAGTGGCACGGACCAGCAAAGGTGGTACGCGGAGGCCCGCATCACTCTTTGGCGATCTCGGCGCTGTCGAGCAAGAAAGAGGCAGCGGAGAAAACCGACTTGACCTTGCTTGGCCTACATCATTTGCCGTCAATGTCTCAGCTCTGGTCTCACTCGAGTGAGCGTGAGTGATGTGATGCGGTTCAGACGCGCCTGAAGGCAGAGACCGACCAGAGTTAGGAGAATAGCTGTTGGGGGGCGGGGCCCCCCGCCCCCCACCGATCGCGAGCTTTCACTTCGGCTGACTTCGAGTCAGCGAAATCGGTTGCGAGGACCCATTTCCGTGTGACAGATACGCTGAGAAGCTCTTGCTACGAGACGCAATATGTGCACGTCCGCTCTCTAGTCCCCACCTCGAGCCCTCTTTTCTCTAGACTATGCCGTGTGCGCACGTAGGACACGTGCGTCCAGTGACAGCTGAATCGCCCGTCCCATGACAGAGCCTATTGTATCCTCGGTGCAAAGAAGCGGAAGCAAACCGTCACGTGCTCGAGAGCCCACTCACTGCCTTACTCCTCAAATTGACCTCAAGCAGCAGCAGCAGCAGCAGCAGTTGCCTCCTGACGACAATGCCGGCACGTCCAGTGTCCGCCCATTTGCGCTGTGTCTCGGGCTTCTTCCACATGGACCTGTCGAACGAAGCCGTGGACGAGCTGGGGGACCCGCCTTTACGCATGGGGCTCATGGCGGACAAATCCTGGTCGGACGTCTACGCCTATATGGACAAGTTCGCGCTCCGGAACCCGCGTCGACGGATCAAGTTGGTCATCTTGCTCCGACATGGAGAAGCGACCCACAATGCCACGAAGGCCCGAGTGGGTGCGAAGCTATGGGAGGAACAGTACGAGCGGCTGCTCGAGTTCATTGACGCCCCCTTGACGGCGCACGGCCAGGGCCAGGCCGACGCAGCGGCTTTGATGCTCGAGGAGCAGATGGAAAACTGCGACCTGCGCGTCCAGCGCGTGTTTGTGTCTCCGTTGGACCGCACGTTGCAGACGTACGACCGCGTGTGCCACCACCGGCGGGACATTCCCGTGTCGGTGATGGAGCTCGCAAGAGAGACGTTAGGAGTCGTCAACTGCGATCGCCGCAAGCGCGTAACGTTGAAGCGAGAGGCGTATCCGCAGTTGGACTTTGTCCACGTGGCTAGCGACGACGACACGTGGTGGCAACCCGACCACCGCGAGACGAGCAGTGAGATCGCGGCCAGAGCGGCCACGTTCCTCGACAAAGTGCTCTACAAAAGTCCCGAGCGCTGCGTGCTCGTGGTCTCGCACAGCGGCTTTTGTCGCGGCTGCTTTGCTGCAGTGGGGCATCGGTACTATCGACCTCGGAATGCCGAGTTCATCCCGTTGCTGATCACGGACGCGACCGAAGACGAGCTGCTGCAGTAAAAGACCCCGACCTCCACCATGGCGTAGGCTACTACTGGTCAGGGGTAGCACAGCTTACCGAACAGCTCTCGTCGTGCGTCTCCCAGTCTCCGGAACAACCCGTGTACGTAGAAAAAGGAGGGTGACCTGATCCGCGTTGATGTTTCGGACGCGGTCGTCTGACGGGCGCTGTCCGGACCAGCCATCTCAATGAATGGTGGCGTCCCATCGTCTCTCTCTCTCTTCCCCCTCAGTGCTACACGCGTCCAATCGCTCCTCCTCCTTCGTCGTCTTCACTCACTGTCTGCAGTCGTCACTTTGGCTTTTCGCAGCTTCGCACCAGTCCGTCCGTCCTCGCAACTCGACCAGATGCTGCACCTGATCGTCTCGGCACTGCTCCTCGCAGCCGCTCCCGTTCGCAGTGAGCAAGCGGCGGCCACCGGTTTCAGCTATCTCTCGGGCTTTTTCGTCCAGGGAAGTGCGGGGCCAGCACTGCCAGCGACGAACCTGCCTCGCTTAGGTCTCGTGGAAGGCAAGACGTGGGAGGACGTGCAGGCGGCGATTGACGCCAAAGAACAGGCAGGAAGCCACGTGAAGCTCATTGTCTTCTTACGTCATGGAGAGGGCATCCACAACGTCGCAAGTGCAAAGTACGGCGCCGAGTGGGACGTCTACGGCAGACTGCCCGAGTACACGGACGCACCGCTGACAGCGCTGGGCAGGCAGCAAGCGCAAGCAGCTTCTGAAGCGCTCAACACAGAGGTCGCGAACGGCCTTCGCCTCGAGCACGTGGTCATTTCGCCGCTCGAGCGCACGCTCCGCACGTACTCGATCGCGTACCAGAACCAGACGGCGATCAGCCGAGCGCCGATGGAGCTGCCGCGCGAGATTCTGGGCGTGTTCACGTGCGACCACCGCCGTCGGATCACAGAGAAGCGCGTGGAGTACCCTGAGTTGGACTTCAGCGGCATTGAGGCGGACGAAGACCCGTGGTGGACGCCCGACCACCGCGAGACGGACGCCGAGATTGAGCTCCGCGCGACAAAGTTCCTCGAGGTCCTCTTCGACACTTCTGATGCCCACAACGTCGGGGTCGTCTCGCACAGTGTCTTTGGGGCTGCGCTGCTGCGCGTGATCGGCCACCGCAACTTTGACCTCGGGACAGCCACGTTCCTGCCACTTCTCATTGAACGGACTGCCAGTAACTAACGCGTGGGCGAAGACTCGAGGGCGCTGTGGCCGTGTGAACCCATGTGTCTGGTGGGTGCACTGAGGGGGCGTGAATTGTACCGTTGCTGTCGCTTTGCACGCGTTGGGGCAGTGGCCACACCCGTCGTCGCTACTTGTACTGCTCACCTCTCCAGTGTCTACTTGATCGTTGACTAATGAAATACATTCGAGTGCGTAGATGGGCGTACGCTGCAACTACAGTTCGTGTCGAGTGTCGCGGCTATTCATTCGGTCGTGTCTTGACGGGCGGAGCGAGTTATTGACGACAGCCAGTTGTGGTTTGTTTCGGACGTGCTCTGTCAATGGCAGCAGCCACTGTCGACTGAAGAGGTCACGCACAGCTTTGCACGTGCGTGTAAGCCGACGTGTCGCAAAGCGGTCAAAGCTGCTCGGCACTGGAGTACGGTACACCCGACGACTGCGGCACATGTAAGTGCCGAGATAAACTGTTGTGCGTGTAGTTTTGCCATAAACGTCGCGACGCGATCGTCATGTCGCTTTCAGGCAACTCGCTGCTGCGTATCGGCTTTTTGCTCGACAACGCGTCAGAGACTTTGGAGCTCTGCTAGTACCTTTTCACGACGCTACTTTCGTGCACCACAACGACAACAATGGGGTCAAGTTGACTATATTTTGATCTACGAGGGATCAAAGATGCTAGCGGGTACCGAAAGCGTGCAGCAACAACAGGCAGCAGTGTCACTGGACTCACGGCATGAACGCGGTTGGCGTCTCCAGTACCGTGATGTTGCGGTGCTTCATCGTCTCGAGCTCTTGGTGGTGCTCCAATCCCAAAAACATCGTCATCACTCGGTTCAGGTACGTGTTCTGGTGAACGCCCTTGCACATGCGCTCAAAGACCTGCGGGCCCTTGCAGTACAAATTCACGTCCGTGCCCACGTGGCCAGTCGTCGTCCAGTCAACGGCTGCGCGCAGGCTGATCACGTGGCCCAGCGCAACTGCGACAGGTTCCAAGTCACGCGTTGTGTCAACAGCCGTCGCAATCTCCGCCACCAGCTCGACCACGTCTGCGTCGACAACCGATGTCACGTTCGTAAAGCCAAAGAGGAGCGACTTGGACGAGGTGAGCAGAGCCGCTTTGCACGTATCGTTGGCTCCTGCAACACAGTCGCCCCCTTCGAGAACACCTTCCAGCTGTTCTTGCATGGCTTCTGCCGACATCATCTGCAGCTGCAGCTCAGTCGGGTACCATGCGTACGGGACAGCAGGGCCACGTCCCAGGGTGAGACCACCGGTACCGTGGTCAGAAGCAGATAGCATAGCCGTGTTCGGACTCTGCTCCAAGTGTTCCAGCACCACAGCCACAGACTCGTCAAAGGCGATTGCATCCTTTGCCATTGTGCCCGGGTCGTGCAAGTGACCAGCGTGGTCCACGCGCGAGCCTTCGATCATCACGAAGTAGCCATGCTTCTTCGCCTGCTCGTTGTTGCGCAAAAGACTCAGGATGATCTCCGTCATCTCTGGAAGACTCGGTTCCCGAGCAGTCGTCTCGTTCGTGGCCTTCGTCCGCAGCCGGTCAACCTCGAACGACATGTGGTCGTCTTTGAAGAGACCAAACAACCGAAGAGCACCTGTGTCGGCATGTGCAGCCTGGTAGTCGACCAAATCCTGGTAGTTGCTGGCCACCGTGTAGCCATTTGACGTGAGGTCGGCCAGCATCGACTCGTTGAAATGCTTCCTGCCACCGCCCAACAAGAAGTCGAGGTTCTTGTTCGCAACGTACTGTGCAGCAATGTCGTCCTCCCAGTCTCGCTCCACGACGTGGGAAGCAAAAGATGCGGGCGTCGCGTGAGTGACGCGACACGTCACGATCATGCCGGTCACCATACCACGAGCTTTGGCGGCCTCGAGCACCGTCCCAAGTGGCTGTCGATGTGGGTCCACCGCAATCGCGGCATCGTACGTCTTGTAACCCGTCGCATAAGCAGTTGCAGCCGCGGCCGAGTCGGTGATGTAGCTCGTGGTCGAGTGCGTCTGGACCGTTCCCATGAGGTGCGGGTCGAGGTGAAGACGGGTCTTGAGCGTCGGGTCGAGCACAGTCCGTGCAAGAGTGAAGACGTTCGGCCCCGTGCCGTCCGGGATCATCATGATGACACTGCGTGGCATGTCTTCGTTCTCGTCCATCCCATAGTCCACGTCGACGGTCTTGTACTCGTACGGACCCGCAGCATTGGCAAACGAAGCGGCGGCAGCAGCACTTAAGAGCACGGCACGCAACACTTTGACCATTGTGTGGTAAGGGATACTCCAGTACTCGCGACTGCTACGGGGGTATGGACTGCAGCGGGAAAAAAGCGGAATGACCACTTGATCCGATACGCTGCAGGCGAACCGGTGAGGTGAGCTGAACAGTTGTATCTTTTCTGATCCACATGTCGCGACGTGGTGCGGCGTTGCGTCCGTCTGTCAGCCGCTCCGCTACGCTGCAGTGCTCCCTCTGATCAGTTATGAGTACAGCGCATGCAGACTTCATCGATTGCGCGGAGGTTAGAGCTTATCGGATGATTGCGCGATAGACAGACGCGAAAAGCCATCCACTTGATCGAAGTGGTCCATACTCAGACAGCAAAATGCAACAAGGAACGACCGTAGTCCAACAAGCCAAAACGCGCTCTGAACGAGACAAGACGCCAACAACCTCAAGGCTTCTGATGTTCAGACCGCGGACAAGGCATTTTGCATGCAGGTGTCTGAATAGGTTCGGCTCGTGTCCAGGATATGATGCACGTCCTCTACTATTTTCGAAGTAACAAGGACGTTTGTAGGAGCTGTAGGTATGCAGCGACTTGACAGGATCTTGTTTGGAATACAAGGCTTCGTGGCATACCACGAACGACAGGAAGCTTGCCATGGCTAAGGCCTTTACCAAAAAGATGATCACGATCTTGCTGATGGATGACGGTATCACCTCGACCTTCAAGCGGTGCTACCGCCGTCTGCAGAATGCGATCGTCTACGACAAACGTGGAGAGGTCGGCAACATCGACAACGGCGATCAACATACTGGCATGCCATGCGCTAGTCAGTATCTACCTGGGCCGTGCTCTTATTCACCACTGTTGAGTCTATTGCTCCAACCACAGGAGGCTATTTGCTGATGCACGTGTCTCGCTAATTGCTTTGTAGATAGAAACAAAGATAACTCGAAGGAAATGAGGCGGCGGAGGTTGAGCTGGAGCAGGAGCTAAGCTTGAACAGTGGGTGTCCAGAACCCCATGCCCATTCTGAAGCTGCACAATCACGTTGACGAGAATACACGAGCATCAGCTGGAGCCGATCAAAGATGAGATGCTGCAACAAGGTCAATCGATAGGTGAGAACGAGAAAAGCAGTGGACCAATGGGAAATATAGCCCTCGTCGCAAAACCGTTCACCAGGACCGAAACGACGAACGTCCAGCGTGATGTCTGCTTGCTGATCGATCATGCATCTCTGCAAAGTCACCGGGATGCTTAAGTATAAATGCGCGGCGTTCAACTAGATATGCGCAACACACAGCACCTGGAACCCACCCATGACTTGCGTGCTAAGCAGATTTCTTTTCGGTGAAGCTGATCGTAATAACGATAGCGCTTGGTATCGCATCTTGCTTTGCAAAACAATGAGCAAAGTTTTGGGAAGATTGATTGACATCGTCGTATTGCCCATTGTGGCTGTAACTGATGCCTTGTTGCTTAGCGGCCATCGAACGAGGTCGGTGGACGTGCTATTCGAAAACTTGCCAGAGATCAACACTTAGTGGAGGACAATATATCGGAGGGAGCACTGCATTGAGACATTACAGGAAGGGCGCTACGTCGTGCGCCCCATCGTGATGTTTACGGCCGTGTTCTTCTTCTACTGCCGAGCATCACCCTTTACTGAACGACGCGACGCGCTGACGCAATTCGGCACTGACTTTATGCTAGCATGTGGTGCTCGCGAAGAATGCTGTCGGGTTCTTGGCGACTTTGTCGCGAAAGCTGGTGGGACACTCGAGTGCGCGGCGATCACCTCAGGATGCAAGCTGAATCTGCGAGTCTGGTGGGAACGCCAACACTACAACAGTACAATACGACTCGTGGCCTTTACGCAACCTAGTGTGGAAATTGTTTTCGAAAGCGGGCACAATCGTGACGGGCTGACGGATACGTCGACGTGATGGGGCTGCAAATCGATCAAGCGTTTGCCGATGGTGGGATGTCGTGCTCTTCTAGATGTAGGTAATGTGGTCTACTGTAGCTCCGAAACACCAGCGCCTGTAGAGCAGCGTGTCGGCATACTAAGGTTGGACTCATGCACGAAGTAGTGGAGCAACTGAGTATCACCAGAAGCAATCGTCGCGGCAAACGCGTATTCGAAGCTCAAGGGCTTCGCCGGCATCACCGAGATCCATACAATTGGTTCGAGCGTCAAGGTAGTGCGGCTAGGATAAAGACCAGGCGAAACAACCAGGCGCAACGTCGCGATTGTGCGCTCGTGCGTTGAGGATCCGCCGTCCACATTCTTCGCTGAAAGCACAATAATGCTCTTGGTCTCGTTTTGCGTCAACCAACCGGCGTCCGTCAATTAACGGCCTTGGCTATGCGTGAGCATAGAGGGGCGTCGACAGTTCTTCGAGGGGCTCGATTACATGCCTCCCTTGAACTTTTTACTCTTGAGGCTAGCGGAGTTTCGCTACCACTAGAGAGGTGCCTTGATCCACCGCCGCGACCGGCGCTGTATTCTAGGCTTAGAAGATTTCAGACTTCTAGCGCGTAACCATCATGTGCAATAGACAGTCATGAATCTCTCTCTCTCTCTCGTTTTGCGTCAACCACAGCACATCATCTTCACAAGCCGCAACATGTCGATTCGACGAGATGACGCCCACATTGGCCTAGCAAGTCCATTGGATGAATAGCCAGCACAAAGACAATGACGCGCCTGCAAGCTATGCGAAGGTTACGGAATTCCCGGGTTCACTTGCCCGCAGAGACAGGCTACGATGGCGAAGGACAGCTCGGCTTCTGCCGGTGGCGCTAGCATGACGTACGTTCACGCCTGATGCACCTATTTGCCTCGAAAACTGGACGTGTGCATCTCGAGTTGCTCCCGGTGTTCTGCTCGAATACAGAGGATTGTTTATGACCAGTACACGGTTCTGCAATGAGGTACTTCCGGTTCAGTTGCTTCGTCTAGCGTTGGTCAGCATGGATTTGTGCTTCGGCTTTCCATGTTCCTTTAGCCACTACGTGCTGCCTCCGTCACACTGATGTGGTCGACCACCTATCTCGTCTCGCTTGTCGCTCGCTTGCAGTCGACAAGCGAGAACACGTACTGTGGTCTCCCCTTAGTGTCTTCCAAAGTGTCCCAGAGACTGACGTTGGTCATCTTGAGCGTCGTCGGGCTCACGTACGTCAGCTCTGTGGTAATGACCGATAAACTTCTTGACCCTTCCATTGTCGCCGCTCTCTTCAATTTTCCGTGTGCGCAAATGGGTTGCGCGCCGGCTCGCAAAGCTTTCGACAAAGTTGCGTGCGTTCGTCTCATCCCTGAGCATCGCTCTACTGTACACTGCTGCCTGTGGACAATCGTCTCGAAAACGAATGCTCGAGATCACTGTTGTGCTGTCGTTATGGTACCTTATCTTAGCCGCTAGCTGTTTCTAGTCATCGAGTCGGTTCGCACACCAGGCTGCAATATGGCACAAAAAGGGCAACAATGTAAATTACAGGCAGTAATTTACTCATGCTCGCTTTCGAATCGAGTGGTCTGTTGCACTCGCGAGCGCTAGTTACTCTTCGGACAGATGGCTGCAAGCGACATCGTGGGCAGCTACCGCGCTGGAGCGATGTATGTCGATGAAAGACTTGCTGTGTCCAGATTGCCGGGAAAGCGAGTCATTGAAGAGGAAACAATAGAGACCGGTCATTTAAAAAAAACGAACTTTTGGCATGACACAGTAGGATGCGGACATCTACTATAGGGTGTCGATCATAAACCAGTAGCACGAGCGTATGCTGCGCTCAGCGTATTTTTTCGGAGCGATCGGACAGCACTATCGGCCGCTGGTCGTACAAACTCGCTACTTGCGACCATAAAACCTCATCCCTCTCACACGCGTTTCTCATCCTCGCTCCGCCCCGCTATCGATCAGCCCTCGTCCGACATCCTACTCAGAATACTCAGAATACTCAGACTGCCATGGGATGGAAGGCAATTGAGCTGGAAGAGTACGAGAGTTCCGCGCCTGCCGTACAGGCGCATTTCCACGCCGTCCGGGCCGAAGAAGCGCTGCGAAAAGACGACGTACGTGCTCAGCTGCATCTGTACACTCGAATGCGCGCTGTTGCTTCAAGCTGACGCCACCGATGCTCTCGTCGTCGTCCCTTTGCTCTAGTATGGCCAGGCCGAGAAAGAAGGTCACTTGGCCAGTAAAAAGTTCCTCGAAGCAGCTCAACGCGTCTCGGACAAGCGCACGATCGACGCTCTCGTGATGTTGGCTGAAAATTACGAGTACCGGGCGAAGGTCGCGCGTGCGAGGAACCCGGATCCAGTGGAGATGCGAGCGGAGACGAAAGAAGTGACCACGAGAGAGATGTGTCCAGATCGTCTCGCTCGTCTTCGCTATGCAGCATGTCAGGAGACGGTGCAGACTACATCTGGAGATCTGGGGGATCCAGAAGAAGGGCACAAGGTCGAGACGCAGCTGCACGTGGCAGCAGCAGAGATGGAGGAGCTCTGGAGACGGCTGAATGAGATTGGGCTGTCTTGTCCTGGATCGGCAGACAAGGTGACACGATGTAAAAGGGTGGTATTGAGAGATGGAGGTGTATATGCGTGCTCAAGTTGCTGTGTGGAACAACGCACGTGCTATGGTGTAGAACTTGCTTATGTCGTCACGACATTTGTCGTCATCGTTGGGGGATTCGTTTTGTTTGCTGCCTGCGAAAACAAGGTGCGGACATAGTGGTGGCAATAAGAGTATGCAGGAGAATGATGACAATGTACAACGTTCCTCGTGTCGTTCCAGGAGCACGATTGGAGTAGTAGCGACTGCAGTGAATGGAGGCTCGACGTTGCGAGCTGCTGTGGCGTCTAGGATGAGAAATCAGCGTCAACGGTGCGGCAGATGTTTCGAAGACTGCAGCGTCATGTGTGGCAAAAATGACGGTCTTCTTGTTGTTCAGACTAATGGAGCAGCAACTGGGTGGACGTGGTCCGTCAGATCCGCGGCGATCGGGTGATGCGCCGATGAGCGGCAACGGGTTGGCGTCATATGTAAAGGAAGACAAAGAACGGTCCGTTGGTAGCGGAAACGAGTCGGCTTGCAGGCAAGAAGAATTGGATGGACTGCAAGACAAGGTTGCTCACCAGAAGATGGAGATTGCTCGACTGCTCAACACCGTAAAGACTCTTAGTAGCGAGAACTCCAAGCTCGTGAATGTGCGTCGGGTATCTTTGTACGATTGCTCTTATGTGAGGTTGTGTCTGACTGTATTTGCTTTGTGCTGTGTAGAAATGCGAAGCGTTGACGAATATACAAGCGGAGAACCGTGAGATTCGTGAGTCTATGGATCGTTTCAAGAAGGACTACAATCAGAAGGTGTGTATCCTACTTTGGTGTTTCGTGCAGCTGGAATGCAGCTAAACGGGACACTATTGTGCGGATTTCTAGTTGGTGATGATCAAGAGGGCGCTAGAGGAATGGAGACGTCAGCGAAATTGTGCTGTCCAGACCTCTCCACAGCCGATGAGTGCAGGAGGGTGGGTGCTAGGCGAGGATTCCGCTGCTTACACAGCTATCTTGCCTACTCACCTGCTTCATATTGCGTTTGCTTGTAGGGTTGATTCTGTCTTGAGTGATAAAGTGAAGGCACAGGAGGAACAGATCACGAAACTGATGCAAGAGATGAAAGAGAAGGTGCGCGTTCGTCGCACGAAGTTGACAATCAGACACATTGAGACTCACTGTCGGTGTGTATCTAGGATGATCGCATCGCCAAGTATGACAAGTGGTACCAGACGCTGAAAGCAGGTGCGAAAGCAAAGCAGCTCAGTCAGAGCCGCGAAAGCAGCAATGAAGCGAGCAGCTTCAGCAGTTCAAACAGCTTCGTGCAAAGCGGCGGCGGAAGTCTCAGCGGACCTAGTAGTAGCCCGTACACGAGCGGCAGCAATTTCCGCGGCCTCAGTCCAGGGTCATCCGAGCTCGCAGGCAGCAGCAGTTCGAGCGCGCTTCACCAGTTCAGTCGTCCTCCTGCGCACCCGAACCGTCGGGCACTTTAGCATGTGTTGACGTTGACCCACCACCGGTACAAACACATCTGCAGCTACACTCGACGGAACACACACAATACACTGCTCGTTCAAACAGTTCATTGCGTTATGTACTGCTGCTGCTGCTCGCGCACCGCACGGCCAAACTACATCTCCAGCGATCCCGAAAAGTAACAGACCCATTGACTACCCATCGCGCACCTAAGAGCAGTCGAGATGACGTCTGCCTCGCTCGTCGACGAACCAAGCAGCGGGGAAGGGCCTCTCGTCTCGCTGCTCATTTGCTGATGATCCTAACAAATTCAACTATTGATTCAGCAGAGCACCTGATAGTGCTCCTTGAACGGGAACAAACACACCCTGTTTGGCAGCCAACGCGTCTCTTCTCTTCGATGCCGTTGTCGATGGTAGCCGGCTGTGCAGTGGCTCTCTGCGCACTGACAGCACGCACCTAGAAGCCAAAAAGACCGCTGAGCGGCATCTCCGCCTGCTCCCGTGCGAACGTCTCGAAGTACTGGTAGATAATCGTCACAGCCAGCAGGATACCAGTGCCCGAACCAATAGCGCCCAACAAATCGGCGACCATGGACAGCGCACCAATGCACATGCCACCGAACGCAGCAGCCGTAGGGATGTAGCGGTTCAGCACGTGCACGATCGACGAGTCTCGGTGGCCCTTCATCACCATCTGCTGGTCACGCAGCTGTTTCGCCACATCACGAGCCGACGAGCCCGAAATCTCAATCCACGTCTTCGAAAACAGCGCGCACGAGCCCAGAATGAAGATCACGTACAGCACGAAGCGCAGCGGGTCGTACAAGATCTGGGCCAAGTTGCTCGGAGCCGACATGTAGTACGCGGCACCGCCGACCGGCACGGTCTGGCCAGCACTGCCCTCCACGTCCTGCCACACGCCGAGCAAACGCACGAGAAAGTTGCCGCTGAACTTCTTGTACAGCAGCTGCGAGATGAAGTACAGGTTCGACACCAGTGCCGTCTGCAGAATGATCGGCATGTTCGACGTGTAGAACAGCTTGATCGGGTACGTGCCCTGCTGTCCTCGCAGCTTCTGGTACTTGACCGGCAGGTCGATCCGGAACCCTTGGAAGTAAATGACGACAATAAAGACAAACATGGTCGCCAGCAAGTTGGTCACGTTGGGCAGGTTCTGGCGGTAGAACGCCTCCTTCAGTGCCCGCAGCTTGTCCGAGCGCGTGATCAGCAGATGGAACAGCGCAATGATCGCGCCTTCGAACTCCGTGCCCCGACCGGTGTTGATCGTCGTCGGTGAGAACGCCTTCCACACAATGTTCTCGCAAATGTTCGTGGCGATAAACAGCGAGATGCCCGAGCCCAGGCCATAGCCTTTCTGCAGCATCTCGTCCAGGATGATCACCAACACGCCGGCGCAGAGGAGCTGCAGGATGATGAGGATCGCGTTGAACGCGCCAATGTCCGAGATGTTGCCGTACATGCCCGAGACCACGTAGGCCACGGCTTCGCCCAGCGTAATGAGGATCCCAAAGAGCTTCTGCGCGCCGCTAAACAGCACGCGGTCTTCCTTGAGCGACTGGTCCACTTCAATCATCTTGGAGCCCGCCAAGAGCTGCATCACGAGCCCCGACGTGACGATGGGACTGATCCCGAGCTCCATGAGCGTCCCGCGGTTCGACGCGAGGATCACGCGCATCCAGTAGAGCGGGTCCGACGACTTGGACGTCTGGATGCCGTACAGCGGGATCTGGCAGCACACGAGGAAGATAAACAGCGTGATGATCGTCCACAGGACCTTCTCGCGGAACGGGATCTTGCGGTCCGGGTGCGCCACTTCCGGCAGCACGCACATGACGGGCCGGATCAGGTGCAAAAACCGCATGACTCAGAACGCAGTCGCGCGGCAATCGGTGACGTGGCGTTGGCGGTGAGGGAGAGAGAGAGAGAGAGAGAGAGAGAGAGAGAGAGAGAGAGAGAGAGAGAGAGAGAGAGAGAGAGAGGGGGAGAGGGGGAGGGGGCGACACGGCCACGCACTACTGCTGCCGGCGGTCGCTCTGTCGGTCGTTGGCTCCTCTTTGGAAAGTGAGCGAGCAAAGTGGTTTGGTGGGGGGGCGAGCGAGCGACACGTGGAGGAGGCGAGTCGAGCGTGGGGGGAGCGATTGGGTCAAAAGCGAGCGGAAGTGGATAAACTGTCACCGAGCATGTGGGTGGGTGCGTGGGCCGATGCGATGGCGCGTGGGGATGTGGGTGGGTGTTTGTGGGCTGCACGATCAAACGAAGGTATCGAAAAAGACCCGGGTCTTTTCGTGGGGCTGCGAGTGGGTGTTGGGTGATAGAGAGACGACGGACTGGGGTGTAATTACCCCTTTTTACGACCGCGTTCCAACACGCACCGTGTGCTCCTCTGTCGTTCTTGTCGGTTGCTTGCAGCCACTGCCTTTTGTTGCACGAACTGCACTCGCATGAACTGCTCTCAGTTTGGACAGAGAGCGGTTTGTATCTCCACGACCTTTTGAGGGCATAACACGGAGGTAGCAGAACAGCCGGCTCACGTCATGGAATACGGCCCACTGAGCTGCGTATCCTTGCCATCTTTACGACGCTTGCAAATCGCTCGCTGATTCATGATGTCTGCAAAGGCATGTGCTGCAAATGACGCGATACACGACAGAACGCGCAATAGCGGGTGATCTGCGACGGTTTACCGCACAATTTGTTATTGTCGCACACGTACGTACGCTCGTGTGCGTCAACGTGTTGCAGCATGTGCAAAGTTGATTGGGACGGACGACACGCGAGCCAAAGACTGCAAAATGGCACCTCGTGCCCTGCCGCCGCCGCCCTAGTGCGCACAATGGGCGACAACAATCGCGTGAAGTGAAGGAAACTGCTTCGGGTCACACTGCATACCTCGTCATCAAGCGCTTGAGTCGATTTACGAATCCTGCACCCTCAGTGTATCGTCATCAGCTACGCCCGTACTTGTCCACACCTGACATCAAACTCTTCAGGATAGGCACTTGCACGAACTAGTAGTCGACGTGCAGGGTGCAGCCTCAAACCAGTTGCTCAGCTCAACTCAAAACAAACGATGCACTTGCGTGGCGTCTTTTGCCGTTCTTGCCATCGCAGCAAAGTTCGCCTTCACGACTGTAGCACTCGCACTTGAGACGACTGCTCTCGCCTCTGTAAAAATGACTCTGTGCTTGTGACAGATGTACCATGTAACAAAACAAACAACTGGCAAACTCCACACAACTCGTCTCCCCCCCCAATCCGATCGCACTTTAGCCAACGCCAAAAGCCAAACGCTGACCCGCACCCGATCGCGTCAACTCGAACCTCTCGCGCTGCAGACGACGTCGCAGGCAATTAAACGGCCAATCGGTCCATCAATCGGTCGGTCGGTCGGTCGGTCGGTCGGTCTGTCGCTCTCGCTCTCCCCTCATGCACATCGAGGAGATCATTCTTGACGGCTTCAAGTCGTACGCCACGCGCACGGTCATCAGCGGGTTCGACCCTCGCTTTAATGCCATCACGGGGCTCAATGGCAGCGGCAAGTCGAACGTGCTGGACGCCATCTGCTTCGTCTTGGGCATCACCAACTTGTCGCAAGTGCGGGCGAACAACCTCCAGGAGCTCGTGTACAAACAGGGCCAAGCGGGCGTGACGAAAGCCAGCGTCACGATCGTGTTCAACAACCAGGACGCCAAGGCCTCGCCCGTGGGCTACGAGCAGTACGAGCAGATGTCGGTGGCCCGCCAGGTGGTCATTGGCGGCCGAAACAAGTACCTCATCAATGGCCACACGGCCCAAGTGAGCCAAGTGCAGAACCTCTTCCACTCGGTGCAGCTCAATGTGAACAACCCGCACTTTCTCATCATGCAAGGCCGGATCACCAAGGTCCTGAACATGAAGCCGCCCGAGATCCTAGGCATGATTGAAGAAGCAGCTGGCACGAGGATGTACGAGAACAAGAAGCTCGCGGCGCTCAAGACCATGACCAAGAAGGAGAAGAAAGTCGAGGAGATCAACAGCATCTTGGCCAACGAGATCACGCCGACGCTCGAGAAACTGCGGGCCGAGAAAACGCACTACTTGAAGTGGGCCGCCAATAACACGGAAATGGAGCGGCTCCAGCGCTTCTGTGTGGCCTATGATTACCAGAAAGCACAGGACGCGCTGAAGAATACAGCCCAGCATGTGGAAAAGATGCAGCAGGCTCAACGAGCTCTGAAAGAAGAGGAAGTGCAGATTGAGCGCGAGATTGACGACGTCGAAGACGAGGTCGAGGCGCTGCAGCAACAGCGAGAAAAGGAAATGGGCAAAGAGTTTCAGCAGTTGAAAGACAACGTGGAAAAGATTGGCAAAGACGTGGTCAAATTTACCACCAAGTTGGAACATTGCAAAGCCTCGATCAAGCAGCAAGTGAGTGCACTAGCAGGTGTGAACGAGCAACAAGCTGAGACGGAAGAGACCATGTCCAAGCTAGCAACAGATATTGAGAAAGCCAAAGAGAAGGTGGCCCGCATTGAGGAAATGCACACGGCCAAAGTCGCAGAGGCCAGCGACTACCAGCGCCAGATCCAGGCGCTGAATGCTGGTATGGAACAGAGCGGACAAAGTGACGAGTCTCTGTCGGAGCGGTTGGTGTCGAAACAGCGGGAGTTGCAAGAGAATAATACTGCGATCAAGCAGATCAATTTGAAGCTGAAGCACATGGAGGAAAGCATCAAGCACAAGCGTCGTGAGATTGAGCAGACACGCAAGAACAACCGCAGCATGGACGAAGAGCGTAAGCACAAGGTCGGTGAGCTGCAGCATATGCAGCACGAAGTTGATCAGCTTACAAGTAGCTTCGACCCCGACGAAGAGCGCAAGCTTCACGACCGCGTCAATGGGCTGCAAAGTAAGATTGCGCGTGCTGAGAGGGAAGTGGATGAGATTTCGTCGGGGCTGTCGTCCCGATTAGACTTCAAGTACACCGACCCTTACCGCAATTTCGATCGACAAAGCGTTATGGGCGTGCTGATCAACCTGCTCGAGACGAAGCACGAGTGGTCTGCGCTTGCTTTAGAAATTGCTGCTGGTGGAAAGCTTTATCAGATTGTGGTGGACAATGAGAAGACTGCAAAGGACATTCTTAAGTTTGGCCGTCTCATGAACCGCGTGACAATTATCCCGCTCAACCGCATCTCGCGCAAGACGGTGGACCGTCACAAAATGGACAAGGCACGACAGGTAGCTAAACAGCAAGGCGGGAAAGTGTGGGAAGCGATGGAATTGATCCACTTCAAGCCAGACCTTCTTCCAGCGATGGAGTACGCGTTTGGCTCATCCATTATTTGTGAAACAAGCGAGCTTGCGAAGAACGTTACGTTCCACAGGGATATAAAGGTCAAGACGGTGACTCTCGATGGCGATTCGTTTGACCCAGCAGGTACGCTTCAAGGAGGCTCTACGCCGTCTAGTGGCACCCCGATCCTTTTGAAGCTTCACCAATTGATCAATCATACTCGGGAGGTCAGCGACATGCGACGGGAGTGCCAGGAGAGCTCACGACTCTTGGATGGAATGAAGCAGGTTTGTTACTTCTGACACAACGATCGTTGCGGTGGTGCTAAGCGGTGTGCTTGTTGTTTAGGATTCCGGCCACTTTCGTCAGCTAAAGCACCAGATTGAACTAAAAGAGCACGAGCTGCGCTTGCTTGACGAGCGTATTGCGGGTAGTGTCTTTGCTCAGTTAGAACGTGACGTTGCTGCATCGGAAGCGCAATATGCTCAGGATAAAGAGCTTTTGGTTGCCAAACAGGAGGCTGTTGTCCAGCTGGCAAAGGAGGTGAAGGTTCTGGACACGGACATTGCCGATCTGAAGGAGTCACGACAGTCGAAGATTGGTGTTTTGGAGAAGCGATTCACCGAAGCGAAGAAAGAGACTCAAAAGGTTGATGTGAATCTCAAGGCTGCTCAGCAAGAACTGTCAGAGCTGGTGCTAGAATCAGAATCCGCTGAGCAGGAGCTTGCCGGCAACAGCGAGAGCATATCCGGCATTGAAAAAGAGCTCGCTGCGCTGAACAAAGAGGAGAAGAAGATAGAAGACAAGGTTGCTGAAATCCAGGATACGTACGAGAATGCCTCGAAAAAGCTGGAAGAGCGACGCAGCCATTTGACGCTGTGTGACCAACAGCTGAAGGAATTGACTGCGCGTCAGAGTACTCTCTCGAAAATGAAAAGCGACTTGGAGATTGAACGCAAAAAGGCGGAGCACAAAATATCTCGGACGGCTAAAGATGAAAGCGATGCCAAGGTGATGGTCAAGAAGCTGGAGAAAGCACATCCATGGATTGAAACAGAAAAGGAATTTTTCGGGCGCGAACATACTGACTATGACTTCCAGCGTCGGGATCCATCAAGTGCGAATCACCGTCTGTTGGAACTAAAGGAAACGCAAGGCGCCTTGTCGAAGAAGATCAACAAAAAAGTCATGGGTATGATTGAGAAGGCAGAGCAAGAGTATCAAGGTCTAATGAATAAGCGTCACATCATCGAGAACGACAAGGAGAAAATCACATCAGTGATCAAGGAGCTTGATGCGAAGAAGAACGAAGCTCTACAGACAACGTGGGTGAAAGTAAATAAGGATTTTGGCTCCATCTTCGGCACGCTGCTTCCTGGGACGCACGCGAAGCTCGACCCACCCGCAAACGGTAAGCTTGTGGTGTGGATTTGCGCGACCCCCTGAACCGGAGTGCTCTTACTGACTATAGTTTGTTACTGTCGTGCCAGGGACGATCCTCGATGGACTACAAGTGCGCGTATCGTTTGGCGGTGTGTGGAAAGAGAGCTTGACGGAGCTGAGTGGTGGCCAGCGCTCGCTACTAGCGCTGTCGCTCATTTTGTCGCTTCTGCTCTTCAAGCCCGCACCGATGTACATCTTAGACGAAGTCGACGCTGCTCTGGATCTGTCGCACACTCAGAATATCGGCCAGATGATTCGATCCCACTTCTCCCACTCCCAGTTTATCGTAGTGTCACTCAAGGAGGGCATGTTCAACAACGCGAACGTTGTGTTCCGGACCAAGTTTGTCGACGGTGTATCGACGGTAACCCGTACAGTTCCGAAATCGCGTGCGCGATAAGTATAGCGAAAGTTCGCAGGTACTGAAGGATGAGGGAAGTGTGAACGGACCTGCCAAATCGTGACGCTGCACGGCTTACATGGATGTCGGTTGTCCTACGCAACTCTTCGTTGGTCTACGGCTTTTTCAATGCCATTCTTCCGTTTCTTCTTCTTCAAAGAGCCATCTCATTGCTGCTAGCCATGTAGCAAAGCACAATTGCGTTCTTACGCTCGTCTGCAAAACGACTTGCCATTAGTTCGAGGGATCAGCTCAGCTCCGCCGTCGACATTCAGGTGACTCGATATATTCGACACGACTTCGTTTGTGTAGGTCGTAAAGCATGTTGTTGCTACTAAGGCAAATTCATTAGTCCTTGTGTCGTCTTGGCGAAATATGGTGTATCGAGCAGCACCTTTCCAAATAATCGTCAGATTATCCGAGAAAGAGCAATATCAAAAACAAGCCCAAATAAATACGATATCATTTCGTTTCGGACTAAAGCAGGTTATATGTAGCATACAAAAACCAGCTAGTCTTTTGGACTTAGCCTCAACTGTAGACTTTTTATCATAAGTTGTCCCGTATCCACAAGCTCAGAGATTTATGTACACAACTGTCATCTACCTTTTTACTCATCTTTATCAGTAAACTATCAATTTCGCATAAAACATGGCTGAGGTACTTCCTTCGTCAGTATGTATGTCGATTGAACAATTATTTTTACAACGTTTTCCCCTACAACATAAGAAAGACACCTTCATTAAGAGTAAATTATATTACATTACAGTCATTTTTTGGTTTGGTTCATCATGCTTGCGTATTGAATGATATTACTTTATTGTGAGTTTAGATACATATGTACATAAATAACCATAATACGAAGCACTTTGTAAAGGGTTAAGCCACCCCTGTATGCTTGAACAAAAACCTACAAAGTAAAAATTTGTACTGACTAGTTTCCCGTATTTTTTAACCTTAAATTCATAATAGCTGACAAAGGTAGCTTAGGAGTGTGATGTTTATCAATCATTATATTTGTTTTAAACAAATTGCAAAAAAACTAAATTGCGACGAGGTATCTTACTCGCTTTTCCTGTATCGTAAATTGGGTCATAAGGCAAATATTGGATAATTATGTCAACGTTTGTCCAAATGGGTTTGGGGTTCTCCCTGATTCGTGGATAAGCACCGCTCGTACCAAGTTAGTGGCGCGGGTTTGGTCCCCTATTAGACCAACCCAAGGTCCTAAAATAATGTGTTTGACACACTATATGCACTGGTACTATCTAGGGAACCTCGAAGGCTAGAAAGTCCCCTCAGAGAAGCATAAAACCTAACAAATAACATTTGGGCTATCGGATTTGGCAGGCAACCAAAGCATCCAGTAAGCAATGATCGTCTTGTGGGTCAAAAACCACGATCCGGAAGGGATATGTATGCCCTCCCCGAAGAGGACAGTACCAGGTCGTTAGAGGAGCTAAATGTACCGGCTGGACCTGCAGAAAAATTGTCTTTACATGTAGCTTTCTAATGGTCCTAACTTTGTCATCGATTAACGTTTGTATTACTACAAAATTGCTTTTTTCTATGGAAGTGGAAATAAAACCGAGCCAAGTGGTCTTTCTATTGTTGATAATAGATTATACGCTTACATTTTTGGACATGGATTGACATTCGACTATTTGTAACCCATTGATTGTCTTAAAAGAAATATGTTTGTTTTTTAATTTAAATATACTAATGATGATAGTAGAATTGGACCTATAGCTTTTATATCTATTATTCTGTTTTACAATTCAATCGAAAAATAATCTTCAATAGATAATTTAAAGGAAACGTTAACCTCCCCCTAAATTTCGTTAACCACCTCCTCCCCTATATATCACCGTATTTTACTCGAACTACGCGTTCTGATTGGTAGGATCGAAAATATTACCGGTCTTAGAAGTAATTTACAATCTCATATATAAATGATATAATACTAAATATGAACAATCTATGCATGTCGTTTAGTCGGCGATGTGTGGTAGTTTATTATTCAGCTACTTCATTTGACCGAGTAATGGCACGGTCAAATGAGACTTTTATACGAGTGATTCTGGAACAGATTGAGCTTGTAGCGATTATCCTGCATGGGCACTGTGACAAAGGCATCCAAGAATTCTATATATTCAAAATTGACTTAAATCCAGCCGCTAGGGTCGTTCAAGAGGTACATCAATTAGTCATAATACCTTCTCAATTGACTAACCAGAATAACGTGTAATTTGATGATGGTAGTGGCTCTACGTAGCGTCTAACAAGAGCCAGAACGAGCTTTCCTCGATGGGGTATCCTGAATAGGCAGTCTGCATCCACTGGGCACTACAATTGACTTTTTTTATTCAAATGGAGATCGACCGCAGTATTGACGCCCACCCCTCCTCGTAGTTGTGCACAATGCAGTCAAGTGACTGGTCCAAGCCGATCAACATGACAGCAGTGATCACCGGCATCAACGAGGATGGATCACTGAGTGCTACAAGCTCCGTCTCTTGCGGCACGAACGTTGTTTTTATCGAAACATCTGCTTAGTCGTTGAAGACCGCCATCAACAAGGTTCTTGTCGAGTACTTTTCCACTCACGCATACAGCGATGAATCTAACTCATATAGATGGTCTTGTTTATTCAGATGGGAGAGCAAGCCCTGGTAAGCATAAATGTGGAACGTTATAAAAAATTCGGTAATATATAGGGTTGGGGTGGTGGTCAACGAAAACCTGGGGGGTGGTTAACGATTCCCTATTTCATGAACGAAGTACATCAGTATCACATGTTTTTGTGTCGCTAAACTAGATGATCATCAGATAGGAAATTACATACAATACGTGTGATATGATACATTGTGATTGTTAGATACTGATCCAGCACATCTTCGCGTTGTCAAATCAGATACGTCTATTCTAAAAATATGGGCTGTAAGGTGTGACGATCGTCTTTTGCAGAAGTGTTTCGCCTGTATTGGATGTGGAAGCCATCTCAACTATTGCTGTTAAGTATATGGGGATCAATTTGAAATTGGGTACAATATACGTGTATTTATCCCAAATCTGGGTATATGTACATTACCTATAGTTCATCTCCCTTGCAGACTGGTCAATTCGACCTCGTCAGGATAATCGCAATGCAATGTGAGATCGACCCTTGATCCTACTTGTATACCACTTTGATCTTGCACGCCGAACTTTCATCCTTTGCATCAACTAGGTCTCCCGATACCATCGCAATAGGATAGATCTTGACCGGTAAACTCCTTGTCTGAATCCTCGAGTTTCTGACCACTTGAGCTGCCTCGCGATCTTAAATCCCAGTCTATTTCTTGTGCATGCCGCATATAACGGGGTACGCTCTAACTTCTTACAGGTAAGATCTTTTGTGTGTTATTTCAACTCAAGGGATGCGTACCACGTACACGTGAGCGTAAGGAAGCACGATGTAGAATTCAGAGTTTAGGAAGCAAAGAGAAGGGAATAATTAAATGAACTATGCTCATTATAAATAATTTGTCTTTTGGTCAGCTTTCTATGTCTTAGTTGTACGATATAAAACTACAATCTCTTATGTTGGTTTCTCTCTCACCACAATTGCGCTCTCGTAGTAGCTATTGGGGATCATTTTGGTTGACATAATGGCCTACATCAACAAATTAGTGAAAAGGTCAAATGTTGTGACCATTGAGGGTAGTATTCCGACATAGTTTCTGTGGCCAGGAAGTATTGATGAATATCATCTACTATGATTATATTTAGATTTGCATTTATTTTAAAATAACAATTATTGTAACGGGCTTGCCCGTTTCACAGTAAGCGTTTGCCGCATCCGATCGCAGTATAATTGGTTGCTTGGGGTCTTACCAACCCTGTTGAAGCAATTCTTTACGACGTTTCAATACATGCATATTATTGGTCGCTGAAACAGTAATGCGTTCCAGCTCCGGAAAAAGAGGTAATGTGTCCATATTGGAAGAATATGTTTGAGCACTGTTTGAAAATGAGTGTCTATCGGAAAGATGAATGTGATATTCCCAATTCGCAGAATACACTTGAAACTGACATGATTCTCGAAATATACATCTTTGTACCCGCGCTTGAATGGATTACGCTTATTATACACGTGTAAAAACCTCGTGGCTTGCATTTCCAATGTTAATGCGGACCGAATACTGAATATCGGACCGACAATCATAGAAGTGAGTCGAACCACACTATTCCTCATTCACACCAGTTCATGTTACTGTTTTGTGTATAGTGAATTAAGTCGTATCATCGATTTTCCATCTTGATTTGAGTGCCTAAGTATGTGTATATTTTGATCTGGTAAGTCTTATCGATTGATTACCGGTCTGGCACAGCGTCTAAGATCCGAGACCAATAAAACTAAGGTATTCAAGTACCAATTAGACTGACTAAACCAACTTCGCAGACATAGCTTGTAACGATCTCGTCTAGAATTTTCTTGGATTGAACCTAGCTATTATTTATCATATGTGAATGACTTGCGAGATCAGACATGTCTGCCCAATTTCATTATTACTATTCGTTATCGCTCTTGATAGTGCTTACCGAGTATGTTTTTTTGCGGAAGACATCCGAAGGTCTGTATTCAAGACTCGGGTTGATCAGAGACAGTTGCATTATCAGATGGGCTTCGATGAAACAGCTGTACAACTTCGACTTCTCGGTCACAAATCAGCATTCTAGGTATATAGGGTAGTAGAGGTATTATCTAGTCTAGCTATCAACAAGTATCATTTATTTGTTGTCGTGCTCGGGAGAATTGAAATCATGGTTAGAGAACTCCTTCAAAGCTTATCAGTTCTGCGTCCAGCTTAACAGTGTCGTTTACCGAAACCAAGGTAGGCCATGCTATTTATTTAATGTCAAACTGGGATGAATTAAAGCAAAAGGTATAGAAACGGCTCGCACTGGCGCGCCAGAAGAATAAGTCTCATGAGCACGGACTGCTTCTGGATAGCGTC